TTTCTAAAATAACTAAATTAGTATTACCTTCTAAAATAACTGAACAACAGTCTTACCTTCAGAAAAAGACTATAAATTCCTTAAAATAACTATTAAGTCATGCTACTAGTTTGTTCTCAAGGAAGTCAGGACCCACTGGTAACAACATCAAAAAAAAAGATTAAAAAATATAATTAGTCATTTTATCAAAATTGAAATTAGTAAAATGTAATAATTAAATTACTATAAATTTCCATTTTCTCTATCTAAAATTTTCAAAGCTCTAAAAAAATAATTGTTTTTTAATTGCATATATTTTTCTGAAATTCTAGATGCACATTCATATAATCAGTTACACAAATTATTATGTGAAATAATTATTTTTTCACTTTAAAAACAATAAAAGTTACATTAAATTTTACTATAAAAATTCTATTTGTCATATGCAGATCGGCAATTAAATATTAAATTTATTGTTTTTTGTCAATTTTGATTGAAGTATAATTTCTCTACGTGTAGATATTTAATTTTAACAAAAAATATTTCATATGATAGCCCTGATCAGGAGAATCTAATAAAAAAAGGTTATATAATTTAGATCACTTATTGTGACACAATTAGCATTTTAAATTTAAAAATTTTCAAGTGGTCTAATATTTTTGGTTGAGAAGTGTACTGTACATATAGTAGTACATTGATTCGATTAATAGGTATAAATATATAATTGATTAATCATAAATTGACTGCCTTTATATTTTTAACATTTCAAATAATTATTTCTTCCCTATTATGTAATCAATTTGATTAATCAATATATCAGAATTATGTAATTAATAGATAATCAATTACATAATATTTGATTTCAGAATACATAAATTTGATAGCCTTCGTATTTATAAAAAAATTTAATATTTATAATGATAATGAAAGCAATATTAATTATTTATTTCACTCTAATTGATGACACTTTTCAATTTCACCTTTCTTTTATTTTAAAAAATCTCTTTATCGTGAACAAGACATAACTGAAACTATATCATTCTTATTAATGAGCCATAAAAAAGTAAAGCTTGTAATTATTTTACTGAGCTATATAGTCCATCCCAAGGTCATAAAATAAAATATCATAAGTGTAAAATTGAATTTTCATATAATGGTTTACCTTCATTGAAATATCATTTAATTTATAAGTATAATATCGATATTTCTACTAATCCAAGATTTCAATAATTATTTCATAAGCAATGAATGCAAATGAGTAAACATCAGTAACCATTGTACAGTAGGTGGTCAAAAGTCACCAAACAGTTGAATATTTTTAAAAAAATTACTAAATTTAAAATACTAATTGTGTCATAACGAGTAATTTAAATTGCACAAACTTTTTTTTTATTAGATTTCTCTAAAGCAGGGCTATCATATAATATATTTTTTTTTAAAATTAAATGTCTACATGTAGAGGAATTACACTTCAATTAAAATTGACAAAAAATAATAAATTTAACATTTAATCATTGTCTATATCAGAATTGATGAATTTTAAAGATAGATATCAACTATCTTATATTGGATTGTAGCTAGAAACAATATCTATAATTTTAATTAGTAAAATTTTTTATAGTATTTATTGAAAATTTAGGCTTTACTTAGATGTGAATAAAAATGACTGAAATTTATTAAAAATTTTAAAAAAATAAAAAAAATACGAAAATAATTGTCAATAATTTTTACATATAAAAGTTTTTATTTATTAAAATAGTAATAAAATTAATACTAAGTAACATTATAGCTAAGAATATGTAGCATCTTTTCTGAAGTATTTAGAAATATTTAATTAAAATTGAGTGAATAAATAAACGATTAAATTCCAGAGAATAATTTTTAAACATCCAATATTCAACCATTGATATTAAATTTGATTTGCAAGAAAAATTCTAAAAACTTCATAAAAGATGCTCCATGTTCTTGGCTATAAGAAATATTAGTATCATATTTGATGTTTTATTAATAAATTACGAACTTTTATATGTAGTAACCTTTTAATAAATTATTTTTGAATTTTTTAAAAAATATTAATAATCGACAGTGATATTAATTAAAAAATCCAAAATAACTATCAATAGTTACTACATATAAAAGTTAATAATATATTAATAAAACAGCAAATGTGTTACTAATTAATCTTATAGCCAAGAACATGGAACATCTTTTTGAAGTTTTTAGAATTTATTATTGCAAATTAAATTTAATATCAATGGTTTAACACCGGATGTTTAAAAATTATTCTCTGGATTTTAATCATTCATTATTAAATCAATTTTAATTAAATATTTCTAAATACTTCCGAAAAGATGCTACATATTCTTAGCTATAATGTTACTTAGTATTAATTTTATTACTACTTTAGTAAATAAAAACTTTTATATGTAAAAATGATTGATAATTATTTTCGTATTTTTTTTATTTTTTAAAATTTTTAATAAATTTCGGTCATTTTTATTCATATCTAAGTAAAGCCTAAATTTTCTATAAATATCATGAAAAACACTACTAATAAAAATTATAGATATTGTTTCTGACTACAATTCAATATTAGATAGTTGGTATCTATCTTTAAAATCTATTAATTCCAGTGCAGACAACAATTAAAGATTAAATTTATCATTTTTTGTTAATTTTATTTGAAGTGTAATTTCTCTACGTGTGGATATTTAATTCTAATAAAAAATATATAACATGATAGCCCTGATATAGGGGAATCTAATAAAAAAAAAAGTTTGTGCAATTTAGATCACTCGTTGTGACACAATTTGCATTTTAAATTTAGTAATTTTTTTTAAAAATTTTCAACTGTCTGGTGACTTTTGACCACCTACTGTATATTCTCCTCTTTTTAATACTCCGGAGCTATATATGGCAATACTCTAGTAATGATATTCTTTTGGAATTTTTTAAATTTTCTGTAATTAATTTACTCAATCCAAAATCTAATATACCAATAGAATTTGATTCCAAACTATTTTTAAAATATTTCCAGGATGAAAATCACGGTGAACTATATTTAATTTATGAATTTTTGAAAATTCATTAGTTATAAAAATTATTATTTATATAATTTTTAAGACTTCCACCTTCATAATATTCTAATACCATCATATATTCATGAGTTTTTTTTTATCTTTTGTAATTCCATAAAATGAATAACTACTTGTTCTCAAGTGAATTGCCATCTAAATAACATAATTTTTAAATTATAATATATTTTCAAATAAATATCCGTATTAATTATTAATTTAAAATATTACTTTACCTCATTTAAAAAATCTTCATTTATATTTACAATATCATCAAACTTTTTGATACCACTTTCCATTAATCAATTCTTTTCCCATTGTTAATTTTTAATATTCACCTTCTAATAAATCCATTAATCAACTCAGCATAAAAAATAGTACCATAATCACCTTTTGCTATTTGTTTAATATATTGAAATCTATCATAAGGTATCCTATTACTTGCAAATAATAATCAGCATTTAGTTGAGCATCTTAAATAAATTTATCTATTGTGGCATTTCCACTTGTCCATGCATCAAAATCATTTTTAAAATGTGTTAAGTTGCGCGATGTGCACCACTTAAAACTATCATGTACTTGGTTGCATTCCGGGCATACTTCAGTCATTTTCTGTTCACTTATATGGTATGTAAGTTAGAAATTTTCTTTTTTTTAAAAAAAAAAAAGATAAATCGAGCAATGCACGCTGAACAAAATTTTATAAAAAAGGATGTATGATATTCCTTAATTATATTCAAAATCGGAGTTTGTATTCTATGTGACCGAAATTTAACAAATTTGGGAATTTTCTACTTAAACAGGTAATTAAATTTTATACTATTGACAATTATCATATTAGTCTGAATTTTTAGTTTACCATTGTATATTTTACATCATTTGACTTAAAATCAGAAGTCTGATGTAAGCGAAACTTTATTTCGGCTAAATATGCTTACAATTTTTTTGTTTGTTATCATTTACGTGGTGTAACTCTACATAACGTCAAAATTCAAAAAAGAAATATTAACAATTTTGAACATACTCGATAATCATAGAGATCAAATTTATAAATATTCATGTCGTCGCAAGATTAATCAAATAAATGTGAAGATACAAAAGAATGGGAGACTTGGATGGATAATTTTATCATTTAAGATACTCTTCAATAAGAAAATATCCTATTTTAAATTTGAGAATGTAAAATTAATCAGTGGAAATATTTATAAAATTTCTCAAAAACTATTGCTCTTAAATGTGTTTATTTAAATGACAAATTTACACTGGACAATTTAATTAATGAAGTGAGTTAAATTTAATTAAAAAAAAATTAATTAAAGTGATTCGAGTTAATCTTTAATTTGCGTAATTAATTTAGCCAACTTAATTATCCAATAACAAAAAACTTATTATGGATAAGGTCCACGTTACATAATAATTTTTTTTGCATTTTGATATAAAGTATTTGAATCTGAATTGTCATTATTTATTATTATCAAATTAAATAAGTTCGAAAGTTAAGTTATCATGTGATCTTTACCTGTGGAAGTTAAAATTTTTGATTTTCTCCGATCATTAAACCTTTTTTATATTATAAATGAATGAACCTCAATGATAAAAATTAATTGCACCACCTATAAGAAGCATAGGCGATACCACCCAAAATTGCACCACATTGACATCAACTTCCAAACAAGGGGCTTCATCTAATTTACTCTACAAATAAAAATAAATAATAATATAAATAGAAACTAAAAAACAAACAAATGAAGTAAAACCACTAATCACAAAAGGAAACGGTTTGTACAAACATAAACTTCACATTAGTTTATATACAATGTTAATCATATAAATTAACAATTATAGTAGTGTATTTTGGCAACCATACAATCATAAATATTACTGTATATAATGTGATATAATTTTTTTTTAAAAAAAATTTATCTTTATTTCTTCGGCAAAAAAAAAATGGCAACTAAAATTCCCACAGAAATATTAATTAAAATTTTAAATAATTTTCAATCAACTCGAGATTTACATTCATCATTATTAGTTAATCGAATATGGTGCAAAGTTGCTATACCTATGCTTTGGGAATTAACTTTGTGTCAAGAATTTTTGTGGTGGAAGAAAGCATTATGTATTCGAACTTATATATCATGTATGGATACTCAAGCTAGAACTTTACTTATTGAAAATGGATTTGATTTATCATCGTCACCACCTCAAGCCATTTTTGATTATCCATCATTCACTCATAAAATTATAATTGATAATCTATTTTATTTTATTTCCATATATTCACCACAAATTAGTCCACCACAAATTAATCACAATAATTATAATAATGAAATTGCCATGATCAAATCGAGAATATTATTTCGTGAGATATGTAGATTAATAATAAATCATTGTTCGTTTCTGGATTATTTTAAATTGGCAGTTCTGGATGATTTCAATTCTTTTCCTCGTAATAATAGTTATTTAATTGATTCAATTCTCGTGTTAACTGGTGCCCCGAAAGTATTTAGAAAATTAAAAAGCTTTACTTCGATGATAGGAGATCATAAATCGATATATCCATTATATGAATCATTGTCATTAATTTGTAAAAATATTTTAAAAATGGATTTGAACTTGTTTTCAAATTCTCAAGCGCAATTATTAGCAAAGCTTATTAGTGCTCAAAAACGTTTAGAAAATTTATCAATTGTTACTAGTGACCTTCATAATCTTCCTGATTCAATATTTTGGGCCATCATTAGTCAAAGAGTAACGTTAAAGAGTCTACGTTTGTATTTGAATTTTTGTCATTTTAAAGGGAAAGCATCACCATTTGGACAATTTATTTCACTTCAGGAACTTTATATTAAAGGCTGGTATGGATCGAATTGTCTATTATTGGCTTCATCATTTACACAATTAAGTACTTTTCATTATTTTCAATCGAGTCATAGATATCCTCATGAATTTATTATAAAAATTCTCGAAACAGCCAATATGAATTTAAAAGATATTTGTCTAAATTTATATTCCACAATTACATTTGATATATTTTCAGCAATTTTAAATTATTGTACAAATATTACCGAATTAACTCTACATAGTTTAAGTCCTGAACTAGTAATAGCAATATTTAATAATAATTTTAATGAATTAAGAAGACTTTCATTCGATTGTGGATGGAATTGGCTTATTGCTGATGAATTATTACTTCAAATGGCCAAGAATATACCAGAATCACTTGAAACTATTGAAATTAGCAGGTGCGATTTTATTTCTGATAATATAAGAAATTTTTATAAAGGGTGGTGTTGTAAAGGAAGAGGAAATAAAAAGATTATTGTTAAATCAAGATCTGGGGTTATCGAGTTCAAATTGATTTAGTTATAGTATCTGTATGTTAGTTATGTGTTTCATTGTATTATTTATTATTTATTATTTTTGTTATGCTTAATATAAAAATATTGAAAATATTAAAAATACGATGCACTAATAATTAACGGTATATGATATTTAGAAACTTTAGATAATAATCTTGGTAATGAAAAAAAAAAATTTATCAAGTAATATTTTTTTTTTTTTTTTGATATAGGTTTATCTGACTTTATTATTTTATAGCTTAAATTTATTATTAAAATATAATATTAATTATTTAATTAAGAACAAGTTCTCTAAAGAAAATTCATAGATTATATTTGCATTTTTAGTAAAAATCAATAAACGATAAATTAAATTAATTTTAGATAAGAATATGAGAGTTTAAAGTTTAAGTAACTTTATTTCAATAAATATTATTGTTACATTATATGAACATATACATTACTTAGAGATCTTGTAACAATTAAATTATTTTATATAAATGTTCAAGTTGAAATAATTAAAAATTAAATTTATTATAATTTGAATTAATCTTCTTTAAAATGGATTGAAATTATTAACGAAATAACACTGATCAAATTTATTCTCTGTAAATATAAAATTCATTTATATTTTTTAAATGAAAATTATAAAGCTCTCAATCGATTTGAAACCGATCCAACGGTTTCGGTTTGTTAAAATATCATAGAAACCGAACCGAAAAACCGAAACCAAAATTTCATATACTGTATATTAATTTTGATTATTTTTATAAAGAGCTAGATTTTTTAACTTGTTTATTTTTTATATTATTATAATGGCCGAGATTGTAAGTGATGCTGAGTCAGAAAATTCTCAAGAAAATATAGAACCATCAGTTTCAAATATATCAAGAGAAACCAGTAATAGTAATTTAACAGAAGAAAGCAGTAGCAACTTAACAGTAGTTAATAATAATAGTGATAATAGCAATAATAAAAAAAAAAGCTTCTATCTATAAGTTTTTACTTTAAATAAAGAAGAAAATAGATACTATTGCACGTAAGTATTAAAAAAAGATATACGTAATTAATATTAATTAATCTTCGGTCCTAACTAAATTGGGTCCATTTTTATTCTTCCAGTCCAGTATTTGGGAATGAACTTTGAAAGAGGTGATGTGGATCGGATGCCTTTTTTTTTTGAACTCGATCATTTTCTGTGAATGATGAATGTGATGTGGATGCGAGTGTAAATGAATGGAAACATGAACATAAAGAATAGAATAAAATAAATGTGATATGGAAATCAATAAATAAATAAATAATAATTTACCCAGCATATAATTTTTGTAGACGAGATACTTCTTGCGAAAGTAATTCGTATACTTCATCAGCAGATTCAACTATGAACCAAATAATAATAAAATATACTTTCTCTAAATACTCTTCATCCAAATTATTATCACAAAGTTGGATCCTTTTCTCCGCGGGAGTTTTTGCCATATAAAATTTACACCTTTCCTTATAATATCATTTAATTATAGCAGGGCTTCCGATTTTGAGTCATGTGACTGTCAATGGCGTCTTAATTACCTGTTTAACTAGAAATTCCTAAAGTCAGTCATAAACTCCGATAATTAAGGAATATCATACATAAATAATAGTCCTTTTTTTTTGGAAATCTTATTCTGCGTGTTATGAAAAAAAAAACTTCTACCATACATACTATAAACGAACAGAAAATGCGTTATGTATGCCCAGAATGCGATCAAGAATATTATCAAGAATATGATTATCAGTGGTGCAAACCGTGCAACTCGACACATTTTAAAAATAATTTTGATAAATGGACAAGTCGGAAATGCCACAATAGATAAATTTATTCAAGATGCTCAACTAAATGCTGATTATCTGAAAGAGTAATTGAATGGATACCTTATGATAGATTTCAAGATATTAAGCAAGTAGCAAAAGGTGGTTATGATACTATTTATTATGCTAGGTGGGTTGATGGATATATTAAGGATTGGGATATTAAAAATCAACAATGGAAAAGATATGGTCAATGGGAGGTAGCATTAAAAAAGTTTGATGGTATTGTAAATATAAATGAAGATTTTTTAAATGAGGTAAAGTAATATTTTTAATTAATAACTAATACGGATATTTATTTGAAAATATACTATAATTTAAAAAAAAAATATGTTATTTAGATGGCTATTCATTTGAGAACATGTGGTGAAATAATTTTAACTACATTTTATGGAGTTACAAAAGATCCAAAATCTCACGAATATATGATGGTTTGGAAGTCCGAGAAATTATTTAATTAATGATTTTAATAATATTAATTGGGATAATAAATTATACTTTTTAAGAGAATTAGCTTCTGGTTTTTTAAGAATTCATAAATTAGATATAGTTCATCGTGATTTCCATACCGGAAATATTTTAAAAAATGAATATGTATATATCAGATTTTGGATTGAGTAAATTAATTACAGAAAACATAAAAAATTCCCAAAAGAATACCATTTCTGGAGTATTACCTTATATAGCTCCGGAAGTATTAAATGGGAGATATACAAAGGCTGCCGATGTTTATTCATTTGCATTTGTTGCTTATGAAATAATTATTGGGGTTTCCCCATATCATGATGTGCCACATGATAAAGATTTGGCTTTTAAAATATGTAATTGATTTCGACCAAAAATTCCATTTCACTCACCTAAATTAATTACACAAATAATTATGAGATGTTGGGATTCTCGAATTACACATCGACCCACTTTTGAGGAATTACATAATGAGTTGGATAAATACTTTAGTAATTATCGTGAAAATAATAGAAATAACAATAATGAAATTACAATTCAAATTAATGAAGCTCAAGAATTTTCTAAAAATAAAACAACAACTGATACAACTCCAACAAATTATAAAACGCATCCACAAGCAATTTATACCAGTAGACTTCTTAATTTTTCAAATCTTCCAAAACCTAAAAATAATGAAAATTTTTAAAAAAAACTTGAAGAATTAACAAAATCTTTTTATCAAATAAATTCTAGTAAGCATCAATGTATAAATGTTATTTAACGTTATATATTTCATATTTTAAATTATAAAATTTTATTTATTAATTCTTTATATTATAAATCCTAATAATAAGTATAGAGTATGAAATTATTATATGAATTCAAATAACTTAGTTTGTAATCAAGATTTTTTATTAAATAAAATATCCCGATTTTATATATTACACTTAATGAGTTTGCTTAATAAATTTAATAGAAAATTTTTAGACTAAGCTAACTAAACTTATTTTGATTTATTTAATAGCCTAGCCGAACCAAATAAATTTCGAACACTAGTCTTTTCGAAGTTCTTCCGAATAGGAAAAATGTTGCATTCTTCTCTTGAAAAGGAAATTACTTTATTGATTCTTCGATTCATGTAAAAAGGGATTCATGTAAAAAGGTTATTATAATAATCGTATTAAAGTATGCAATATATTAATTAATAATGTATTTTTTTAGAGATCCTTATATAAAAGAAAGTGATTCAAGAAAATAGAATGCATTATTCATTGAATAAAGTAGATGGAATTAATTTTAATACTTACTACAATTGATGATATTAATGATGATGATAAAAATAATATTAACCCAAATATCAAATTTAACCAGAACGATCATTACGAGAGCTGATTTGAGTTGAAACAAAATAAATATATATTGTTATATTAACTATAATAATTAAAAATAATTGCCTACATTATCCTTTATTCCCATAGCATATTTCGTAATTTCAGATTAGAAAAAAAAAATAATAATTAAAATAAATTTCCATGAAAATAAAATGACAAATAAATAAAAATTTCTATATACCTTTAAAGGACCAAATTCTATTGGTCATTTCTAATCCTAATGATCTAACACATGTTTCTTTATTATCAAAGGATTTTACGTAAATATTTCTCAGAAGAGCAATTTTAAATTTCCTTTTAATTTCAATATGATAAATAAATAAATTATAAAGAAAAATAATCAGTAGTTAATAACTATGTCCAGCAAGTAGATGAATTGTATGCGCTGCACCACTAATATTAATGATAAATAAATTAAATTATAGAAGTGAATTCGTTAACTTACTCAACAAGTACAAACCTATCAACAACTTTCAGAATTTCTCATTCTCTAAAGAAATCCAGCATGACTTTTTTCTTGAACATTTAAAACAAGTTGAGGAAGATTCAATTTGATTTTTTTTTTGCTTCTACATTATTTCGTCAATTAAATTAATTAAATTCGAAATTTCCATTCCCAAATGAGAGAAAAAGTATTCTAAATCGGCTGCACGAAATCGAAATGCTGCATAAATCTATCCTAGTGTCTATATGTCATGCATATAGTTGAAGGTTTAACGAGTTCCAGGACAAGTTTTCCCATTTGTAAAAATCATAACGAATGATGATATGTAATATAATACTACCTTTAAAAGAATTCAATAGATCGAGGTGTTGAAGCACTAACACAAATTCGTTTGGTGAAGGTTTAGGTATAACACGTCTCTAAATTTCACTGAATGGTAGTAAAATCCGTGAATAATATGTTTTCACTCATATATAAAAACTTCCACAATATTTGCATGCAGACTTGATAACAAGTAAAGATTGCATTATCCATAGTAAGCATCGGTCAGGAGATTAAGTCAATTTAAAAATCTTAAATATAATTTAAAATTATCGTGGTTAGATAATATATATATTATATTTTATTTGTAAATAAAATTATAAACAATAAATTATATATTAATTAATTGTTTATTCATTAAATTATATTAACTTTAAATAAACTCAAGAAACAATCGCTGAACAAAGAAAATATCAATTATATTTTAAATTTTATCTATGAAATCAATTAAATAAAAATTAGCCAACTAAGCTTATTTTTGGTTTATTTAATTATTTTTTAATAGTCGAACCTAGCGTCTTCGACACGACATTATACTTGAATATTTTTCAATCATGTCTCTTCTTAATAATATTAGATTCGTCCAATATATTGGTGTCATTATTGATGAATTTGTAACTTATTATTTAAAAATAAATTTGTGAAGTTAGAAGTCTAATTGATAATTTATTTATTATTTAAAAAAATTAAAATTTATTAATTACTCAATTAATCAAAGCAAATTCCCCTTTCACTTTTCTATTATGAGTTTTACATAAGATCCAATTGATCTTGACTAGACCTTTCTCAAAGAATAGAGCATTTTTCCAAATACACATCCAATTACCCACATTATCAATAGTTGCATCATGTTTCCTTTCTTTTAATAATAATTCAGGTGTGCAATACCACCAGATATAATATAGAATTTATATAAACATTTTCCCAAAATAAAAGATTAAATATTAATAATAGTTTTGAAAGGGTTATCTGGTAATTTTTATTTATAGTTTTGATAATTTTATATAATTTTATATAATTTTATATAATTTTATATTAAAATATTATTTATAATTAATCACAGAAATCCATGCAGATTTATCTAAATCCTTCAAATATTAAAAAATGCAATATCAAGAAGATAAATGAATATCTTTATTTTGCTTAATTATTTATTGTCTTTATTTATATTTTATTACAAATTTCGTAAATATCGATTTATTTATAAACATAATAACTAATAATTATATAATATGTAAATAAATGGTCCTTTAATATATTAAACCCATACAATTATTTATTTCGGTGAAATGTATTTTACATAAATTCAACAAGATCAGGGAAAAAATTGGTACTAGAATATCTTATCTAAGATACCGAAATACTAAAAAAATTATTAGTTTAAGAAAACAATTCAGATTGTGGCATATATCCATGTGTTTGCTAAATAATATTAAATTATTTATTGATTATTTATTATTTATTTATTATATTTTATTTAACCATTAATATCAATAATATATATTTTAGGCTATTACAAGAACAAAAAAAAAAAAAAAATAAAGGCAAAGAGAATATTATTGAAAACAATATTAGTGATACTGTTATTGAATTTTAGTAAATCAATTATACAAACAGTATTAATGAAATAGATACCAATATTATTTTGATACAATTATTTCAGAAGCATATTTCGATGTTTAAAAATTATCTAATTTTACAGTTAACATCATGGGTAAGTGATCAACTATTTAGTATAAAATTATTATTATTAATTATATATGTCTGATTAAGTAAATTTTACACCTTAAAATATACTTAATTGCGTACATATTTTATTTATTCAAGCTTTATTTACCCATTACATAATCTTGAGTTTATTTTCTTTATTTACTTTTATGCATTCAAGTTTATTTTTTAGAATGCGTAGTACTATCTATTAATTATAACTTTATTTAAGTTGTCACACGTAGCCAAAAACGGAAGTTCTTTTGCTCAACTCTGCCATTTCTAGAAACAGTGACTTTTCAATTATTATTACCATATCTCAATGAAAACGCGGTCAAAATTCGGACAACTTTTTTTTTCTACAATTAAATTCTTCATTGCCATTTCTAGAAACAATGACAACGTAGTAAAAATTCAAATATAAAGGACTTTTTTTTTTCTACAATTAAATTCTTCATTGCCATTTCTAGAAACAATGACAACGTAGTAAAAATTCAGATATAAAGGACTTTTTTTTTCTACAATTTCTACAATTTCTACAATTTAATTTTTCTCAATTTCGTTATCGCATTTGTTTCAATATACGTCGTCAAAATTCAGATATAACGACTTTTTTTTCTACAGTTTCTAAAATTAAATTCTTAATTTCTCTATCGCATTTGATTCAATTATGAGAAGGTCCAGTAATTTTAGGAATTCCAGAGGGCGCTGGAATAATCGAAACATTCCATCGAACAGTGGTCGTTATCCGTCAAATAATCATAGGAATCCTCGTAGACCACCAACTGCACACCTAAGTTGTAAAATTTGAAAATGATCAACGTCAGAGCATATCTGAAAATTTTTCTTCTTCAGAATTAACTTATGGAGGGAGTGATAAAATAATTCAAGTTCCTCTCGGAAGGGAAATCGATAAAGTTTGGAGTAAAATGAAAAGACACGAACTGAAAAATCAACATATGATGAGACGTTTCATATGTTCATGTCTTGTAACTGCAAACGAAGCGGGAGACAAAGCCGAAGGTTTAGTTCATGATTTGGGATCTCCAGATGGAATGTCCCGAATTAGAGAGATCTTGATGTTTGACATGTCTGTTGACGCAGGCTTAAAGCCCAATTTCGCATCATATCAGCGTGTAATTTTGCCTTTTCTAGCTCTTTTAACACGCAAGGCAATTTCAGATTGTACACTTGAGCGGTACCTTAATGCTATTTACTCAGTTGTATATAGTAACTTGGTAACCTTTATTTTTTTACCAACTTTTTATTTTTTTATTTTATTTTAATTATGTAATAATTTTTTAATTTGATCTTAATTATAAAGGAATCCTTTATAAACGATGGTGTAATTAATATGCTTGAAATATTGGTTCGCCGCAATGATATCGAAGATCGAGAAACCAATAAAACTGAATTGATCAACGATGATAAAAATTCATTCATTCCTACCTCGTGAGTAGAAATTTCAATAAACTTATGCATTGATAATGTGTAATTGTAATATTTTTAGTAACTTAATTATTATTACCTTTTTTATAGACTCGGTCAATTTTTTTTAGTTATTGTGGGTTTAA